GGGGGGGGGGGGGGGGGGGGGGCAATCGAAGAAGCGACGGTCATGCACCGAGCCGAGTGATCGGAATGTCACAGTGGTATCCCTTGCCACGGCGCTCGTGCGCATCAAGGGACTCGTGGGAGACGTGTCGGTCGTGATTTGAACACTTGTAGGCTGCGCGGGTGTTTGCGTCTTGGCGACATTGTCGGCCTTGAGTCTGACGACGACTTTGGCACATCTGTGTTATATCGGACGAGCGTTGATTGGAAATGACAATGTTACATTGATCGTGTCGATTCCATGCAGGGCCCAGGGATGGATGATGTCCCGCATACACAATACAACATGGGCTCACAAACTTGAATTCAAGCACAAAATTGAGGTTGATGATGCCTTTTATTCCTATAATCTTTTAAATCATGCGTGGTGCGTACCGTTACAACCAAATTGATGGTATCTAATGTTCTCATAAGGGCTGTCTAAGCCAGCAATCTTGATTCTGTGCTTCCAAGGGAAGACGGGAGTGACCCCTGTGCCTGAAAGATGGATACGTCCAAAATAGAAAATGAGTCCTAATAAGCCAAAAAATTGAAGCAGGAAGAAAAGAACAAACTGAGAAGGGTAGTCCAAGAAACGAAAAGATCATGGGTTTCTAGGTCAAGGAAAAAGAGACCCGAGCCCCGTTCGATTTCTCGAAACGGTAATCAACTAAACTCCAGCGCCGTTTTCGTGTGTCGTCTTTTCACGCACTAATTGCGTTCTGTGGCAGAACGGCCTGCTGCTGCTCAGGGTTGGGTGTCAGCCGCTTGGTCAAGGCGGGCTCGGGAATTCGAGAAGCCATTCGATCCGGTATCAATTCGGGAGAGACGGATCGAACAGGGTACTCTGTCGCAGGCGTAGCCCGGAGAAGTCGCGACGTGGTGGGCTGGGGAGCGAGGATGGTAGGAGAGTCGACTTCCTTGACTCGGGTCTGGGGAACGACTCCGTTCCCAGTGCGGACTTTGGAGGGCAGGATCTGCTCGAATCCGGCTTCCTTGGCGACCTTTTCGATACTCTTGAAGTACTGCAGAGAATGTTAGGTTTCGACGGTTGTGGTCTCAAATGGGCGGCTGCTTTGTTGACATAGCGTTACCTTGACGGTTTTGACCTGGAGCTCGAGAGTAGCATCCTCATCGACAACAATCATGGGGTGAGGGTGCAGCTGCAAGCTGGACAGAGTCCACATGTGGTTGACGCCCTGCTCAATGCATCTCTGCAACGCGAGAGACTTTCGCTGGCCAAGAATAATGACAACGACCTCGCGGGCCTCGAGGACAGTCTGGACACCAACAGTCAGGGCCATGCGAGGAACCTTGTTGATGTCATTGTCGAAAAATCGCGAGTTGGCGAGAATGGTGTCGTATGCCAAGGTCTTGACACGAGTTCTACTGGCCAAGCTCGACCCGGGCTCGTTGAAGGCGACGTGGCCGTCCTCGCCAATGCCGGCAAGGAAGAGGTCGATACCGCCGACGGCCTTGATGGCGTCTTCGTAGGCGACGCACTCGGCCTCGAGGTTCGCGGCATTGCCGTTCAGGATGTGGACGTTGGAGGGGTGGACGTTGACGTGGGAGAAGAAATTCTTCCACATGAAGGAGTGGTAGGATTCGGGGTGGTCGCGGGGAATGCCCACGTACTCATCCATGTTGAAAGTGACGACATGCTCGAAGGAGATCTGTGGTGGACATGTTAGTCACGATAGCTCTGCAGCCAACGAACAAGCAGCTGTGACGCTCTCGCTGTCGCTCTCTCTCTCTCTCTCTTTTTTTTTTTCTTTTCCTTGTTAAAAAAAATTACAAAAATGAATCGAATAGTGCAAGCTAGCACAGCTCAATCAATGCTTCGTCTTACCTCGCCAGCCTTGAATTTCTCAACAAGAATCTTGTAGACACCCAGAGGGCTAGAGCCTGTAGGCAGACCCAAGACGAATGGGTTCTCGGCAGTAGGGTTGAAGGCCTTGATACGGTCGACAATGTAGTTCGCGACGTAGGTGCTCGCGGAAGTAGCGTCGTCGCGAATAATCAATCTCATTTTGACGAGAGAGCTTCAGAGGCGGTGTGTGAAGCTTGGGGTTGGATGGACTTGGAATGGGAAGTTGTGTGAAGCTGTGTGAAGTTGTGTGTAAGTGATGATGTCACGAATTGCCAGCCGAAAAATGGTGGAGAGATGAATCGGGCTAGGTGAATAGGAAAAGAAAAGGGCTTCTTAGAAATAGTCATAGACAGAAAAAGCAATAAAGGAGAGAGAGAAGAGCAAGGTTCAGCAAAGTCGGTTAAGATCGGTGGGAGGTGTAAGAGGAGTCTGTATGGGCTTGGGACTCGGAAGATGATCATGGGCAGCCGACAACTTTAGAATGGTGGGCCGGCCGATGGATGCTTGGGCGCATTGCAACAGTACATCACTCACAAAAGCGACATCAAGCGAGCGCAATGAAGGCGTGTGTCATGGATTGGATGTCAGGATGTGCGGTCTTACTGCTCCGGGCAATAGCGACTCGACACCGAATCACTCTCAACTATACTTCATGCTCCGTTCTCAGTTCTCAGTTCTCCGTTCTCCGTAGAAAGTATAGAGCTCCAAATCCCTTTTCTCTTTCTTCTTAGCTTCCTCCCATCACTTGCCCCTACAAGCTCTTAGTGCTACCCCATACCCCTCTGGCACGAATGACACAGATGGCGGCAGCCGAGAATGCGTGTGGGACGATGATGGCTTCTGTGTGGCATTTGCCAGGTGCCAGTGTGTCAGTTGCATGCAATGATGTCGTGGTGGAGCTGAGTGGCTCTGCGAGGAAAGATGGATGGAACGTCACTGCATGGTCTCATTCTTGGACTGTGGGGAAGAAAGCCGTCATGTTTCTCTCCCCATATTATCGCCTTCTCCAAATCCTCTTCCGCAGCCGCCATTACAATACACGCAGGTGCTGACTGTCCAACGCAGCAAATGCTGTGCTCCACTGGCAATCGTCGGATTAGTTCCATCATGACCGTGTAGCTCGTTACCCGTCTTCACTGGGGTTCGGAGGAAACAACCACATGACCAAATTAGACCCTGCGGTTGTAGCTCCTAATTTCGAGGCTTGAAGCGCAAGCCGTGAAGCCGCTAATCCGGACTGCGCTTGTGCAGGCATGCAGATCTTTTGTTGACCAAATCGAAGCACAATATCGAGACGAGGCTGTTGTAGCTCATCATAGAGGCCACCACCCGTGTCCGAGTGGCACAAGTGGTCTGGTCCCATCTTGAGAATATCATCCAACCATCCATCCACCTATTATTCTCATTTGTAGGAGGGCGCCGACAGGCTTGTTGCTCTTCATGGTTCCATTATGTCTCACGTTGAAATTCGGTACCAAAAACATGTGCAACGGACCCTTAATGCAGCATCCAAGGTATTGCACCATCCTCTCATGAAATGGTTCGGCGTTGAGGCTCAATCTTCCACCTCAATTCAAGACGCCTCCGCGTCTCACCGCCCCACCGTTGTCGAAAGGGCATTGCATGGGGCCTTCGCGGCCTATGTCGAACCAACATGACAATATCTGACGCGGACGTTGAGACGTTGAGATGCAACGAGAGAATTTTCAACACAAAGTAACTTG